TCCTTCTACCCCCTCTCCTGCCGCTGTTAAAAATACTCTGGGTCGTTGTCCCAATCATCTCGGAAATCGCCCTCCGTGCACGCTCATGCAAACACATGCGGGCACACACTGCCTCCAGTCCCAGCCAAGGAGTCGCTTGACCCTGTGGGGAGTAGACCCCAGACTCCCAACTGCCAGGGCTGCTGGGTGACCTACCACCTCCCAGCCAGGGAGCAGCCTGCTGCACCTGGAACTGCTGAAACAGAGCCCTGTCTCCCTTGTCCTCTTCCTGGGGTGGACATAGGAGGCCCAAGAGGAACAATGTGCCCCCAGCATCCCTGTCCTTCAGCCTCACGCGCTACACTACACTGGAGCAGCCCACCCGGTGCAAAAGGTAGACCTGGCCTGAGGCTTAGTGGTGCCTCCAAAACCTGGGTGAATCGGCTGAGCTCACCGCACCTTTGTGGTGACTGCTATGCGGGAACCTCAGCCCTGCGTCCCATCTAAGGGAGCCGGCAGTGGAGTTGCCGGAGGTGGACCTCTGCTCTCTGCCCTTGAGACGCACGGCCCTGCATCTGCCTGCACTGCTCTGCAGCAGCCTGCCCTGCTCCCTGCTCCCCCGCTTCTCCGCTACAGCTGCTGCTCCTCCCCACTCGGCAGGACGGCCTTCCAGGGGTCAGAGCCGGCTGGGACTCACTCTGAGCACCAAAGTAGAGTCTTCCCCAAAGGCAGAGTCCTCCCTGGGCACCCAGGGGCCTCCTGGGAGGGACCTCCCAGCCTAAGCTCTGGCCAGCTGGGCCCTGGACCTCAGGAAGGCGCGGATGGCATGAGGCTCTGGGAGCTGCTGCTGCTGTCTGCAGGCGCCTTCCCTTCCCAAGAGCCATGCCCACCTCTTCTTGGGTGCGATGACTCCAGTTCACATGGACAGAGGCTGCGGGTTGACCAAGGACAGCAGGCAAGGCCAGGGTCCCTCACAGAGCCCGGCGTGCCCGTCCAAGAGTCTCCCTTGCCAGGGTCCAAGCCCAGCCACCCCGAGGTCAGCGTTCTGCCCAGGGGCAGCAGAGGCGGAAGCTGGGCTGCAGAGAGCACGGGAGGCCTCTGCAATCGGACGTGCATGGCGGGGCTGAGTCAGCACAAAGCCTCTCAGATTGCTGGGTTACCCTTTATGCGAAGGTGGCGGCAACTCATGCGATGGCACCGCCCCATCCACCTCTGGCTGTCCCTGCCCAGAAACTTCCAGGCCAGCACTGCCCAGCCACGCCAGGGCCCGGAAGATAGCCTGGCCACTCAGGTTCACTCATTTTTACTTCTGAGCATTTTTTGGGTAAAATTTGCAATTTAAGCAATGTTCATTTTGATGGACTCTGGCTGCGGCAGCTAATCTACCCGTTCTGTGGGTCAATCTCATCATGCTCAATAGCAGTTCATTCCGAGATGCGACGCTTCTCACGTGAGTGCGACAGTTTCACAGAGATGCACAAACGCTCTCACCAGTCCCTGAGCCCGCCTCAAAGGCTTTGGCAGAATATTATTTCCTGCACGAGACGGAAGTGCTAGTGAGCCGGCATCACCAGCGACCCCTTCTTTAGAAGGAGGTGCCACCGTGTCCTTGTCCACCTGCTGTGGAAACACAGGTCCACTCATCGCCACTCATATGCATGCAGGCAGGCACAGCATCGGGTCCGACCCTTCCCAAAAACTATCCTCCTCCAAGCTCCAAGACCCAGAGCTGGTGTCACTCCTGGGTGGAAACCTCACCTGGAGCATGGCTAGCTTTTGTGAGCCAGCGAACAGAAAAATGTCACTAACTCGGTCCGCTGAATTTATGGGCTCCACAATTTCCACCAGCAGGAGCCTGGCCCACCCTCCGATCGCCCCGGGGCAGTTTCCAGAGTGTTCTGGAAACGCAGGAGCCTTCCCCTGGTGCTGCCTGCTCCGGGGAGAGAGAGACACGGGCACTGGCTGCCTCCTCACAGCCACACAAACTCACCTGGGTCCCTGAGCCGGCAGACAAGTCCCAAGGGGGTGGGTGTCCCGTGTTCAGTCCCCCAGCCCAGTCCAGGCTCCTTTCGCTCTGAGAGTCCTGGCCCCCATTGGTAACGTGCCTGAGTGGCCTCGGAGAGTCCCTGTGGGCAAGCCACAGCCATCAAGGCTCTGCACCCCTGCCAGCCCACTCTCCCCTCCTTCAAACGGACAGGCACGAAGCCCCCCACAGAAGAAGTCCCATGCTGGCTTGGGGTTCCCTTCCCAGCTGCTGCCTGGGAGCCAAACTTTGGAGATTCATGCAGGGGAGGCTCCAGCCCAGGTCTCAGCATCCCAGGAAAGCAGCAGAAGCCCCAGGGAGCGCCATCAGGCCACACGTGCAGAAGAGTGGGACCCGGGCTGCCAGGGGTGGTGTCGGTGCAATGCTCATTTTGAATTCAGCGGATCTGAGACTGGGGGTGATTTACAGCCGAGCAGGCCACAGCTCTCTCCCTGTGAACTCTCTAGTTTTACTGCTCAGTCAAACCTAATTCCAAAACACTAATGCTTTCATTTAAACACCACATCCTGCAATAAAGCTTTAATGTATGACAGCCGCATCTAGGGGAAGAGAGCGCTGTGTCTGCGGCCACCGGCAGCCTCAGTGGCCGCACGTCCGGCTACTTCCCTCCCTGTGGCCGGATCTGGAAGCAGGCAGGGAAGAGATGACCTCAGGGGATGCTGGGCACTGACCCTCCATCCAGAGGCAGAAAGGAGGCTGCGCCCAAGGTCAACACTGTGCCTTTGCAGCTGCGCCATGCGGGGCCGAGGCTGGAAGAACACAGCTTCCAGAAGGAAGACTTGAGAGCTGGTAGGCCCTCAAGTCAGGCCCTCCTCTCCAGTCAACTCGAGGCTCCCTGAAGAGTGGGAGCCGCCTGACAGCTCAGAACAGCCCCTGATCCCTTTATCCAAGGCTGCCTGTGCTGGCCCCAGCTGCTCAGGTGACCTGGCTGCCCCCAGACCCAAGACCTCCAGCCACTGCAGGAGGGGGCTGCCTGCCTGTCCCTTCCCGTTCCATTCCTGCCAAAGGCCAGGGTGCAGGAGGTGGGGTGCAGGAGCACCTGCTATGGCCGGAGCAGTGCCAGGGCAGAGAGGACACACACTCTGGAAATTAATATTGAGGCCTGTGGTGGGTGGGGGTGCCCGGGCAGGGAACTGGCCTCATTCTAGGCAGCAAACACCTACAATCTGAAACTCCAAAATGAAGCCAGGCAAATACCCCTCACGCAGCGGCCCAGCGCCTGCCTGTGACCCCAGAACCGGCTGCCCATCCTCTCCCTGAAGGACCAGCCCTGAGGAAAAGGGTTTCACAGGCAGGTCCAGACCTGCCCTCAGCCCCTGGGCCCCAGGACATCCTCCTGGGCCTTTCTCAGGCTGGAACTGGGGTGGTGGCAGAGCGGGTGGCTCTCAGGCCCTGATGGGCGGGACAAGCAAGGGGCCCTGGGCCTCATGGCACTTTCTGCCAAAGCCTCCCCAGCATTCACAGCAAAACATACCTCAGGTTGGATTCAGCAGAACAGAGAGAAAACCAAACTGGGGTTCTGGCAGGGGTACAGGTAGGGCAGCATGAGCCGGAGACATTGGCAAACCCAAACAGCTCCCAGACCCCAGCGTGGGCTGCGGGCTCTGGTCTGCACAGACTCTACTTCTCTGAGCCTTTCCCAGGTGCCCTCCACAGAGGAGTGGGGCCTAAGGGCCCTTGCGGTGGCCCTGACCCGCTGAGTTCCCAGATCTCTGCGTGCATGCTGCGCCTTCCTTGGGGGCTGCATGCCTCCCAGCTCCTCTGCCTTGCCCTTCGGGGGCCTGCCCTCCCTCTCAGCCTCTCCACTTGCTGCCCAGCCCCTCCCTCCCTCCTGCACCCAGACACCTGCTCTTTTCCAAACTCTCTCTTGTCTTGTGCCTCTGAGCCGTGTCTGCCCTGGCCACATGTGGCCCTTTCTGCCAGCTGATGGCCTCTCCCAGGGTGGCTGTCAGGTGAGCTCCCAGAGCCACCGCCACTGCCCCATGCTCTCCAGCCAAGACCCCGACCCCCCAGCCCTCCCCTCCCCGAGCCGGACCCCACGCCTGCTGGAGGCCGCCTCCCCTCTGCCGCAGTCAGCACGCTGAATATTTAATGTCTGGTGAGCACTTCCACCTGCTGACACAGGCAAAGTGACAGAACAATGCTGGCGGGGACACAACCGTCCACCAACGCCCAGACAGCCTGCTGCCCGCCCTGGCCCCGCCCCGGCCTCACCCCTGCCACAGCCCCAGCAGCCCCCGTGGTGTGGAGTGCCCCTCAGTCCGGCGAGAGAGTTCCCGGCCTGAGATACATACTTCTTTACATTCCATAGCTTAGCAGGTCCATATGGGCATATAAAGAAGTATGTTTCCCAAGCAGGCAGTGTGCAGTTCCAAGACCTCGGACCCGCCGCAGCACAGAGGCACTGGGACTTCGGCCCTGGCATCCACACCCAGCAGACAGCCTTCCTGCCGAGTCTGCCTGGGGTCCCTCCACCCTCAGGGGCTCAGGCTCCCTGCTCCCTTCTGACCTTGGCACCCCTCCATCCCCATCTCCATCTCCCTCTCTCTCCCTGTCTCACACACTCGCATGATCCAGAAAGGCCAAAGCAGACAGTGAGCCCCAGAAAGTCTTGAGTGTTCGTCCCTGGCCCCAGCAGCAGCTCAGCTTTGCATCCGTGGAGACAGGCTGCCCTCCAACCTCACCCCAGAGTAGGGAGGCGCAATCCACAGCCCAAGCTTCCAGAGCCAGCACTTCCCTGACCCCTGGCCCCCGTGTCCCAGCCAGGCCCAGAAAGGGCTGGGTGGAGAGAAGGGCCTCAGGGGACACCCTGCCCAGCATCCCACTCACAGGACCAGCCTCCTCCAGGAGCCGGACAACTCCTTGCTCGCCAGATGAGGAGCTGCAGGCCAGAGGCCCGAGAGGTGCCCTGGGGACTTACCTGGGCAGCTGGCAGCTTCCTGGGCAGATCCCTGGTAAAGGCTGCCTCCTGGGACCTGGTGTCCCCGAGGGAGGGCTCAGCACCTCTCTCTGAAGATGAGAAAGATGATCCCCAGAGGATTCCAGGTTCCCAGAGCGTGGCTGGGAGCTCCTGAGAGGCCGTCCACTGGGGGCAGCTCCCCAGGCGCCTCAGCCTGGCCACAGCGGACACCCAGTAGGTGTGGGAGTGTCTCCCCCGGTTCTCTCCATCCTTCTCTGAATCTTCTTCATCCTTTCCCCCATCCCCGCCTCGCAATGTCACCAGCCTGGACTGCTTCTGCCCGCCTGTCGCACAGTGCGGCCCACTTGAAGCAAGGCTGCGCAGCACCAGCCGCTAAGCGGGCACCAGGGTCAGCAGGCACTGCACCTGCCTAGTGCCACAGCCTGGCACCCCCGGGAGCTGACCCCACACCCGCCTCTTTGTGGCCAGCCGCCTAGCGTCCACCGGCCCCTGATCAATACCAATTTACAGTCAAATGCAGGAGGGGCCGCCTTCCTGCTAATGAATTTCCCGGTAATCACCAGCTCCTAATGAGCCTGTTAAAGAGGGTTTAAGTAAACTTAGCAAGTGGCAGACTAAGCACTTTGGAGAACTTAATTGTATCAATACGTTTTTCATTGCCTTTAAATCTGCCTCTGAGTGGGAAGCAGAGGTTCCCTCCTTCCCTGCCAACTTCTATGACCAACTGTGAAGCCAGAGGCTGAAAAATGTGGAGAAAGAGCCTGAAGGAGACCAATGGGACCTCAAGGTTAGGCCTCACCAGCAGAAAGGGAAGCCGCCCCCACCTGCTGGAGCAGAGAGAGGGGGAGGAGGGGGGAAGGAGAGGAGGAGGTGGCCCAGGGCGAGCCTGGCAGGTGAGGTGGTGAGAGGTGAAAAGAGGGCTCTGCATGTGCCTGGAGAGGGGGATGGGGGCTGTGTGGCTGTGCATTTGTGTGGCTGTGTGGCTGGGTGGCTATGTGGCTGTGTGGCTGTCAGGCTGTATGCTTGTGTGGCTATGTGGCTGTGTAGCTGTGGGGCTGTGTGGCTGTGTGGCTATGGGCCTATGGAGCTGTGTGGCTGTGTGCTTGTGTGGCTGTGTGGCTATGGGGCTGTGGGGCTGTGGAGTTGTGGGACTGTGTGCTTGTGTGGCTGCAGTTGTGTGGCTGTGTGCTTGTGTGGCTATGTGGCTGTGTGCTTGTGTGGCTGTGTGGCTATGGGGCTGTGTGGCTGTGTGTGTGGCTATGTGTTTGTGTGGCTGTGTGCTTGTGTGGCTGTGTGGCTGTGTGTTTATGTGGCTATGTGGCTGTGTGCTTGTGTGGCTGTGTGGCTATGTGTTTGTGTGGCTGTGTGCTTGTGTGGCTATGTGGCTGTGTGGCTATGGGGCTGTGTGGCTGTGTGGCTGTGTGCTTGTGTGGCATGTGGCTGTGTGCCTGTGTGGCTGGACTAGGCACAGCTGGGTTGGAGTTTTACATGGGTGTGGGGGTAGGGGTGGGTTGTGCTTGGGGCCCTGGGAGGCATCCTCTCTACAAAGGAAAGAGCAAATGGCAGAAAGAAGCAGAAGCCGATGTCCCATTTCCGTGTGGCTGCTGTGATTTATCATTTTCACAGAGCCAAGGATACAAAAAGGGCACCCGACACCACAGCCTGAGCTTCCACTTCAGGGGTGCCCGGGGTTCTGCCGCTCATCTGCGCCCTCCAGAGACCCCCACCATAACTGCCCCTGAAGTCCAGGGAAAAGGCCTCCTCAACGTCCCCACTCCCTGGCACAGGAGCCCTCAGAGCCTGGGACACTCTCACAGCCTGGCTCAAGCCCTCCCCACCTCTGAGGCACTCACTGGCATGGGGGATGGGGGATGGGGGATGGGGGATGGAGGATGGGGTTTGGGGGACGCTGGGAGTCCCGAAGGGCAGGAGTGTCACCCCAAACCCAGCCAGAGCCCATAGGACTTCTGCCCATTCACAAATGAATCACAGTCACTTTTCAAAAAGTTTCCCATCTAGATAGAAAAAGAGCACCTAGCCACCTCCAAGCAGACCCCACCATGAGCAGAGTTGGCGCCTGGTGCCCTGGGCCTGGTTGGGGGCTCTTCAGCCGCAAATGTCACCCCAGCCCCCAGCACCAGCCTGAGGGAGGCCACGAGGAACTGAAGCTCCCCAGCAGGGACCTGCAAACCCAGACCCCCAGGGCTGCTCTCCCCAAAGCCCCCCTAGTCTCCGCCCACGCATGCCCCCCGCCCCCCACCCTGCCCTGCCCCTGTCAACGCCTCCTGACCCTGACGTGGCTGGAAGAGCCGCAGAAGTGCGGAGTCGACCGGAGGCAGCCTGGCCTGCTGCCGCTCAGCTCAGCTCAGCTCGGGAATCCCTGCCCCCCACCAGCACCTCAGTGGGGGATACCGCAAGTTCAAGGTAAGTTTAGCCCCATGCCCGGCTGCTGGGGCTTTGTTGCAGAATGTCAGGTGAATCGTGTCCCTCTAGCCCTGAAGGCCCCACGCCCTCTGCTGCCCGTGCTGGGGCAGCTGCTCTCTTGCAAAATGCCGCAAGTCAAAGTTCCTGCCTCCCAGCTGGACGCGCCCTCCCGGCCCTGCCGGCTGCTGGCTCTGCAGTTTTCCAAATGTGGGTGATGCCGCGAGCCAAGAGAAAACTCCACGGCACCCCCGCTGGAGCCGCACCTCGCCAGCACCCACACGGTGCCGGCACCCACAGCACCCACCTCGCTGGCAGGCACACCCCCACCGCGGTGCCCGGCAAGTTTGCAGGGGCCGTCCCGGCGGCCCGGCCGTGGTGACAGGCTGAGCAGGACTCACCGAGGAGCCTGGGGCACCCCTGGGGCCGGGCTGGTGACAGCAGTGGCGGTGGCGGGCGCAGGGTCGCGGCTCCCTAGGAAATGCTGCAGCAGCGGCCGCACCAGCCACCTCCTCCGGGAGCCAATCGCGAAGGCAGGGGTGGGGGCCGGAGATCCATGCGTCCGCACTTGAGGGGGGCAGAGAGAGAAAGAAGACACCAGGCACCCCCTCTCCACACCCCTGCCCTTCCCCCAGCCCTCCTGCAGCAGCGCAGACCTAGCGGGAGGGAGATCTTGAGAGAGAGAGAGAGAGAGGGAGAGAGAGAGAGAGAGAGAGAGAGAGAGAGAGAGAGAGGGAGAGAGGGAGGAGAGAGAGGAGGCGCTGGTGCAGAGTTAGGGAGAGGCAGCCAAGCTGCACACCTTGAGCTCGGCCTCCTCCGCAGGGAGCCCCGCACCCCAGCGGGGTCAGCACAAGGTAGAGAAGGTAGAGGTCGGGGCGAACAAAAGGGAAGGTCCCACGGGCCGGCAGGCTCTCACAGGCACAGCCGGCTCCCGAGACACAGGCGGCGGGGGAGGGGAGGAGAGTGGGAGGGCCTGACCCAAGAGGCCAGAGCGGGCGTGGGGCCCCCCTCGGGTCAGGAGCCGGCCTCACCTTTGCAGTTCTTATATACCCGGCCAAGCATCCCAAACACGCGGGCCTGGCCAAGTGGCCCCCTCGGCTGCACTCCCTGACCATATTTAGTCAAGCAGGGGAAAAAATAGCCTGTCAGCTGGGCCGTGGCTGGCCCGGCCACCGGGAACAGGGTGGGAGCACCCACGCCATTGACGGCGGGTCCCGGGCCGGGGCTGCTGTCCAGCCCCTCCCGGCCCCTCCCCAACAGGCCTCCACCGGCTGTCCCTGCCGAGATCCCCCTGCTATTTTTAGTGCAGCCCAGCACACAGGCGCCTCCTTGGTAGCCGGTAGCGGGGCAGCAGCCTCCATGCCACCCAGCCGGCTCCTAGGTGCCCTGGGGAGACTCGAGGATCTCCCAGGGTGCAGGGCCAGAGTTAGGGGGTAGGGGCAGGAGGCTACGGCCTCCTTCTCAGCTCTGGGCCCCCAGTAGGCTGAGCCCACCCAGGCCACCCACTTCCGGATCCCCTGTTGGCTCTGCCCTTTTGCCCAGAATTGGAGCCAGGATCAGGTGGTGATGAAGCCATCTGGGTTTCCAGAGACTCTTGAGCCAACCCCAAGTCAGGACAAATGCTGTCACCTTGGACAGAGGCAAGGCCCACCTGCTTGCCCCCTCCACCCCCAGCCAGCCCCTGCCACCAAGGGTGTGTGATGGGGAGACCGCAACCCCCAGTGCTGGTCGGGCTCAGGAGCTCCCCCTTCTGGGATTTCATGCCCAAATTATGTAACAGACTTGGGCCTGGGACGGGGCCTGGACTCAGGATCAGAGGCCAGGACTGGCAGACCGTCCTCACAGGCTGTGTGACGCTGGCTGTTTGTCCTGTCTCTCTGGGTCCCCACAGGACCAAGGACCACGACATGGAATGGTGGCGGACAGCAGTGGTCGAGGGCCTGCTGGTTGGCGGCAGGCACAGGCCCATGCGGTGGAGACAATGAGCTTTGCTATTTGTCAGTTCTGTCCAGAGCATAGGTCATCCCTTCAGAAACCACCTCAGAAATGCCCCCACCACCTCCTGGGCTTGGGAAGGCATCCCCTTGCTTCTGGCCCGCCTGGGGCACAGGGCTGGTGAGCCTATGCCACTCAGAACAGGCTCAGCTACATCTAATCCCAGGGTACCCCTGTGAGGAACTGCACCCCCCAGGATGGCCTGTGGGAGCTGAGAAGGGATCCCTCTTCCAGGTTCACCTTCTGGGCTTACAGCCCCTTCCCCATACCCCGAGGCTGGCTCTGCAGAGCCAGGGAGCTGGAGCCCCAGCCACACTCGCCACGCAGACAGACAACCTGGGGTGTCAGGGCCTAAGACGCCTCTCCCCTCTCTTTCCCCCAGCCCCCACTTCTCTCCCCTCTCCCCTCCCTCTCGTCTCTCCTACCCACTGCGGTCTCCCTTTCAAAACATGGTGGAGTGGGCCTCAGGCAGCATGGCCTGGGCCATGAGGGGCAAGGGCAGCTCTGGAACATGGTGTCCAGCCAGTGACATCAGGGGACAAAGGGGCACCCTCTGCCCCTGCCCAGTCCAGAGGCTTCTTGGGCGATGCCAGGCCCTGCTCCCAACCCTTTATGCCCTGCTGAAGACCCCATGTCTCACCATGAATGAGGCCAGGAGGCTTCAAGCTTCCACCAGATCCGAGCACTTTTCTGGAAACTAAGTAGCCACTCGGCGGGGTCAGGGCAGTGTCCAAACTCCCCCTGCCAGGCCCCTCCCCCATACCCCACTTTCTTCTACCTGCTCTCTCCAGGCAGGGGTGATGGGGGCAGGCCAGACCTGCAACTGGGGTCAGCGGGGGAGGTAGGGAGCGGGGTGCGGGCCTGGGCAGGTGGCCTGTGGCGGTGAGAGGGAGGGGCTGCAGCGGACAAGGCCGTAAATCACCCTCCTTGGCAGCCCCATACCCACTGACCAGGGCACAGGCACACGGCCATCACTTCCAGGGAGAAGGGCTGGTGTGGGTGGCCAGACTCCCAGGTCCCCAAGGTCCTGAGGACAAAGCCAGAGGACAGAGCAGTTTTCCCATTTACCCGCAGCACCAGCCTCACAGTAGCAGCTGGCACACAGTGCTTAGGCTACCTGGTGTTCCAGAAGCTTCTTCCAGGGCTCTCTGCTGAGCTCAAGGCACCCTAAGAGGAGGGCATTTTGCTCTCCCCACTTTACCAAGGAGGAACTGGGGCTCGAGGTGGGTGCTCACTTGCCCAAGGTCCCACACCCAGCATGGATCAGAGCTGGGCTCCCACTGTGTCCCAGAGCTGCCCTTGTCCCCTGATGGCCCTGGCCATGATGCCCGAGGCCCACTCCACCAGGGTTTGAAAGGGAGACCTCAGCGGGTAGGAGAGACAGGAGGGAGGGGAGAGGAGAGAGAAGGGGGAGGAGGTAAGGGGGCACAGGGGAAGAAAGGGGAGAAGTGGCTTAGGCCCCCCAGACTTTCCCCTTAGTGTCTGCAGGTGGTTTAAAGTGTGAATGAATGAAGGAGCAAGCAGAAGACCTGACAGCAAGGCCACCGAAACCCTCACCCCACAGGGACTCCTGAGCTAGGACCCAAGCAGGGGACAGCAGGCTCACCCTGCCCTTGCAGGGCTGACCACGAGCCATGACGGTGAGTGCTCTGCCCTATCCTACGTGGCTTCCACTGGCCACGAGTGGCTGCCGAGCACTCGGGAACGGGGCTGGTGCCACTGCAGACCCGGATCTTCTACTCGGCGCAGCTTCGATTTGTTTCAGTTTCAGAAGGCTCGTGTAGCTGGCGCCGTGTCGGACAGCAGGGGAGAGAGAAAATGCACAACCCAGCAAATTCGGAGACAGGCCCAGCGCTGGCACGGGGGCCGGAAGGAGCAGCCGGAGAGTAGGGGGCAGGGCCTGGGGTGGCCTTGCAGGTCAGAGGTCAGAGAAGGCCTGGGTTGGGTCAATGAACAGGCCCCCCAATGATATTGGAGGGTCAGGCGGGGAAGGGTCCTGGAAGAGCAACCCGGGGAGCATGCACAGGAAGGCAGTGGCCGGGAGGCAGGAAGGGGGCCCTGGCATGTCCAGCAGGCAGCAAGAGGCCTGGCATGGCTGCACTAGGGCAGTGGCAGTGGATGGGTGGCCTAGGGCTGGGCTTCAGGCAGGGTTAGACAACTCCAGGCCTTGTAGGCCAGTGCCAGGGCTGGGCGTGTCCTGCTGAGGGATGCAGGCCTGGACAGGCTGGCATGGCTATGGCAGGGCCCCTCTGGCTGCTCTGCTGAGGGTGAGGGCAGAGGGCAGAGGCTGGAGCATCAGGAGGCCCCGCCCAGCCATGGTGCCCTGGGAGGGCTGCCTAGTTCTGGCGGTGCCTTGAAATTTTGCCCAAAAGATTCACTGGTGGAGCAGATGTGGTCACAGGAGCAAGGGGGATGTCAGAAGGCATGGGCCCTGGGGACAGATCAGAGGTTAGGGAAGTCCTGAGTGGGGTGAATGAACAGGCTCCCCCAGTGATATCAGAGGGGCAGGGGGAGCCCTACGGCCTGGGCCCTGTGGAACAAGGTGCACCCCCTAGGAGGAAGACGTCCCATCACCAGGGAGCCTTCTGAGACCATTTTGCAGGTGGGGAAACTTAGGCTCAGGAAGAAAAACCAGTTGCCCAGCACTCAAAGACCCAGAACCAGCCTTCCTGCCCCTACATCCTAGTCCGTCCCCAGATCTGAACCTGCTCCAGCCCCAGAACCCTGAGTGCAGCCAGAGGGGAGCAGGGCTGGAGAGTGGGGAGCACGGGGACAGTGGCCTGCGTGGTGCCAAAGAGGCCGTGCCCAGCCAGAGCTGGGGGAGAAAGGCTCCTTCACTTGGAGGCTGCGGCCCACTCCAGAGGGTCCTGGGGCTGGCTGGGCAGGGGAAGCTCCCAGCGAGGGGCCTGGGATTTGAGTAAGTGGAGGCACATGCTGACTCTGGCCACAGGGCACCCGGCATGAGGGGAGTTCACCACACGAGCTGAGCGGGGAGCAGGCACAGGAGAGCCAAGGTCTCCCGGAAGCCAAGGGCTATCAGGAGGCCCCACGACACAGCACCTCCCACAGGGACACCCATCCGGCCTGGGGAGGCGGCTGCATTGCTGGGAAGGACCCACCTGATCCTGGATTACAGCCTCACCCTGGGCCACAACTGAGTGTCTCAAGTGGCTCCTTAGCCCCCAGGGCCAGGCGGCAGCATCGCAACCCCCTTGGGATGTCTGTGCTCAGAATGTGATCCACACCCTCTTCCGGCACCCCCCCACAGCTGTGGGTTGGGGTCTTTATCATGGGCAGAGATTCACACAGTCAGGGTGAGGGTCCCAAGAGCAGCTGTAACTAGGCCCTGGCTGCCGGGGAGAGGGGGTCCCTAGCTAGTGGGGCAGTCACCCTGAGATGGACCCTCGTCCAGGGGAGGGCTCTGCTGCCCACATGTCCTTGGCATTCCTGCCGCCAGCAAGACAGGCTGGGGGAGGTGGCCCTGTGGCACCAGCATCCCTGGTGAAGGGGAGGTCCCTCCAGCCTGGGCCTGGCTGTGAATGAGGACAGGGTTCTCACCTGTCCATTCTCGGCTTTCTCACCTGGGAAGGGGAGCCGCAGCACCCCCTTGGGGGTGACGAGGACAGGGGAGCTCAGGGAAGGCCCTAGGCAGGGCTGCTGCCTCACCTTCCTTTAGCCTTCGGACACTAGAGCTCAGAGGACCGAGTGAATGAATGAATGAATGACTCAATCAATCAATCCATCAATCTGAACAGCTGGGTTGTGGGCAGGGTAGGGGGACTCTGGCTGAATCGACGTTCATATGTGTTCAGCTTTGTGAGTGGGGTGAGGCTGGGGCTTATTCAGTGGGGGAGGTGTAAGGCAGGGCCAATGCCCTTGGAGGGTCAGGCCACAGAGAGTGGGGACACCTGCCAGGATGCCCAACCCCATAGGCAGGGGGAGCCGTTGGGGAGCTGTGGTCCCAGTCAGTGGTGGCTGTAATGGGAGCTGCTCCCACTTTGTCTGCAGGATTC